ATTTTTCAATTCTATTTAAAAGAAATGTTTCAAGGTAAAGTTACATATATGTGATTTTACTCTCTTTGTTGGATCTAAAGAGAAATTTATTTTAATATTTTCTTTTGTTATCCAGGAAGATTTAGTTTGATAATTCCTCTTTACTTTTTTATATTAAAAAAAGACTAACATGACAACATGAATATAAGAAAAAATTTTGTTATTTAATTAATTAATTTAAAGTAACAGCTATTTTGGGAAGAGATAAATTAATTAAGAAAAAAAATAGAATTCTAATATTAAAATATTTTGAAAATTTTATTTTGCTAAAAGCATAATAATTAGGATTATATATATTCTCTAAAGCAAGGATTTATCTTCAACATAAATTTGTTGTTCTATATCATTTTTCCTTGCTACAGCTAAATATATTGTTCTCCTTTGTATTAGACTTTTTTATTCATATATCAAAAGTATTTTAGAAGTTTATTTTAAGAGGCACTTTATCTAAATTTTCAATTATTTATACATAATTTTGAATAAGATTTCATCAAATTTAATTTTTCCAAGAAAATTATTAAATTATTCTAAAGAAATACGAGATTAAAAAATTGATTAATAAACTTAAAAAACATCTATTATAGGTTTCTAAATCCTAGCCTCAAAATCACAGAAAATTTTTCAGCCAAAAAACTAAAGGAACTAAATCCTTGGTGTCTAAGAATACAAAATGGTTTACTTTTAAAGTAAGATACTGTAAGATTTTTTTTTTGATATGAATCTATTAAATCCTCTTTTTTTTCTAAGCAGAATTTAGATATAATATATTTATAGGTATTATTTTAATAAACTATCTATTAATAAACTATTCAATTATTACTATGAGAATAAGTTTAAAATAATTAATTTATTATTGCCTATCCTTTTTTGACATATTTTATTTTTATTTTTCTATTTTATTATCTTCATTTAGTTTTATACTAAACTCTATATTGATTGAATATTTAAAATGAATTTAAATCAAAACCTTCAATAATACAAAATAGGATAATTATATTTAAAGATAAACATGCAAGCTTAAATAGGGTAGTAGATAAAAAATACATCTAATATGTATACATAAAAAATCACCTTTTTGATTTTGAGTAATAGATGATATAGTTTATCCATTTTAGCTTAGATTAGAAAAATTTATTGAGTATTAAAGAAAATGATAGAAATAATGTAATCGGAACTTGAAATTATACAGTTTAAGATTAAAGTTTATAAAATGTATATAACCAAAGGTTAATTACAGTTAAGTAATAAATAAAGATAAAGAGGTTTATATTCTATAATAATCAAAGCATTTTATTTTTCATTGGGTTATAACTTAGATAAAAAAGCATATTTAAGGGATTAATAAATACAAAAGTATTTTTAAAGAGCTTAAAATTTTAACCATTCAAAATCCATACAAATAAATTTCGAAAAAACTAATAAAGGAAAATATTAATAATAATGAATCTTGTCATAAATTTATTCACATTTCAAATGTAAAATTTAGTATACTGTTAATTTATTTTATACTTCCCAAAAATAAAATTACATTTATATTAATTTTTAGATTTAAATATTTAATAACTTAAAAAAAATGGTTGATTTAGGATACATGATATTTAAAAAGATGTTTAGATTATATATTTGTTAATTTTAAG